GCAGATTTTTCGTGTCAATTATTGATGATTACTCAAGGATGACTTGGGTATACATGATGAAGCACAAAAGTGATGCTCTCCAGAAGTTCAAGGAGTGGAAAACATTGATGGAAAATCAAACAGGGAAGAAGATCAAGAGGTTGCGAACTGATAATGGACTGGAATTCTGTTGGTCTGAATTTGATCAATTCTGTAAGGATGAAGGGATTTCTCGACATCGTACAGTCAGGGATACACCACAACAGAACGGTGTAGCTGAGCGGATGAATCAAACACTTCTGGAGAGAGCAAGGTGCATGCTCTCTAATGCTGGGCTAGACAGAAGGTTCTGGGCAAAAGCGGTTAGTACAGCTTGCTACTTGATTAACCGCGGACCACATACAGGCATTCAGTGGAAGACACCTGTGGAGATGTGGTCAGGAAGAGCTGCTGATTATTCAAATCTGAAAGCTTTTGGTTGTACAGCTTACTATCATGTTAGTGAAGGTAAGCTAGAACCACGAGCTAAAAAGGGAGTATTTGTGGGCTACGGAGATGGAGTGAAAGGTTTTAGAATCTGGTCTCCAGCAGAAAAGAGGGTTATTCTAAGCAGAAACGTTGTCTTTGATGAAGGTTCTCTGCTTAGAACCATCGTAAAGCCTACAACTACGTCAGAAACTGAGAGTCTTGATAAACATGTGGAGCTTCAAGTCGTTCAGAACGAAGGTGATACGAAAGAACCTGAAGGGGAGAATCAAGAGCTACAGACAGAAACTGATTTCCCAGAATCTATGCCATCAGATACCCATCGCAGTATAGCTCAAGATCGACCAAGAAGGGTTGGAGTTCGGCCACCTATGAGGTATGGTTTTGAGGATATGGTGGGTTATGCACTGCAGGTTGCTGAAGAGGTAGATACTTCTGAACCATCTACCTACAGAGAAGCTGTTTTAAGTTCTGATTCTGAAAAATGGTTAACTGCTATGGGAGATGAGATGGAGTCCTTGCATAAGAATCAAACATGGGATCTTGTCATACAGCCTCCGGGGAGAGAGATCATTACTTGCAAATGGGTTTTCAAAAGGAAGGAAGGAATATCACCAGCAGAAGGGGTCAAGTATAAAGCCAGGGTCGTTGCGAGAGGCTTCAATCAAAGAGAGGGAGTGGACTACAATGAGATTTTCTCACCTGTGGTTAGACATACTTCCATCCGCGTGTTACTAGCAATAGTTGCACATCAGAACCTGGAGCTCGAGCAACTTGATGTGAAGACAGCTTTCCTACATGGAGAGTTAGAAGAAGAGATATACATGACTCAGCTGGATGGTTTCCAAGTTCCAGGGAAGGAAAGTCACGTTTGCAAGTTGAAGAAGTC